GTGGCAAGGATGTTCAGTCAGCCCTTTAATAACAAGCAGCTGTAATAAAGTCCAGGCTTCCTGCAAGTCAAATGAAATTTTGCCACCAAGCAAAGTGAGGCCAGTGCTTCAGCTCACGTAGCTGGGAAATGTCGGGGTGGAGAGGACCCATGAAGTGAATTTTCCCCTTGCATTTGGACATTGTTCTCTCTTCCATCACCTTTGTTTCCTCTCCCACCTCAACTGTTATGCTGGCACACATGCCACCTCATCTTTTCATAGCAGCTGGCATTTTACAGCAACAAAAACAGTACTTGGAAAATACATTTTATCTAGCCACAAGTGGGAAATTTTCAAAAGTTGCCCTCACTCTGGTTATTTGGTTTCAGAGCACAAGCCCAGGAAGCAAATGGCTGGTTGAATTTCAGGGTCTCTGGCACTCGTGCTGCTTTTGGTCAGGAAGAAGCTAAGGCTGAGGTCAGACTTCTGTGAAAACCTCTGTCTGGTTACTGAAATTACTGAAGCATACAAAACCCACGGAAGACTCTTTCTGTTCCTACCCATTTTTTTTTTCCCCTCATTCATTTTGGAGACAAGCATTAACCGCAGTAAGCTATTTCCAGAGCAGCTATGTGGTTTTTTTTGACTTTTTTGGCATCCCAGTAAAATCCTGACCCACCAGGGGCATTTAGTCCTGTATCTTGATTCTGTACGAGGTTCAAGTTTCACAGTCATTATGCAGCAGAGCTGATAAATGCTGTGATTTGGAGGTTGCCTAATGGAATCTTTTGCCCCAGAAGACATTCAGAGTTTAAAAGCCACAGTGATGCTTACAGAAAAATGGTGCGCTTCAAAAGTACCGTGTTGGGATGAAGGTGAGGAGAGACGTGGCTGCCAGGCTTCAGCCAAGCTGGGCTCAGGTGTAATGGGTGGTTGACTACCCTGGCAGGTGCCCTAAAAGAAGGTACGTTTACTGTGCGGAACACGTAAACTCGTCCTGCAAGAAGGTCAGGCTGTGGCCTGTCCCTTAGCATCTTCACCTTGAACAGCAGGGAGGAGAACAGGAAGGAGCAATGCCCCTGGGAAGAGGATCTTAGGGGACAGAGGGTCTGTTGAAGAAGAGGGGTGAGTTAATTGTGAGATTTCCGTCTCTGTTCCATTAGGATGAAATACACCTGGTCTCAGAGCAGCATCCTTTGTGAGAGTTCAGTACTATTGGGGAACTGCTGAATTAGGGACAGAAATAAATCTTGTAAAGATCTCCCACCTTACATTCATTGGGTGCAGAGGGTGGTGTCAAAACTCTCCAGATGGTGGGAGGTCAAATGAAGATGTAGATCCTCATGAACTATTTGGTTATATCATGTGTTGAGGTGTAACACTCACTTATGAAAAAGTGACAACAGAGATTTTCAGTAGAAATGTAGGAAGTAACTGGCTTGTCGAGTGTGCCTGACTTACCTGCTCTGTAAAGGCTTTCCCTGGCATTAACTCATTAGTTCACAAATGCAGGACAGCCAAATGACTGGTTTGTCCTCACAGTAACAAGAACGTACTGACTCAAGTGGCTCACGGGCAAACTTGGACAGCAAAGCCCAGAGGCCTGTCTATGAATAATGCCTACAACGAAGGGTTTCTATCTCGGGGGCATGTCCTGCGAGCTCTTTTGGGAGATGCCGTTGCTGAGCATTTGACAGGACTCTGCCTGCTGGGTGCTGCTCCAGCACCCACATCCAGGACCTCGGAGACAGCCCTGTGCTGCCTGAAGCTCAGCAGCGATGGCTGAAGTGGCTGGAGAATCGCTGGCTAGCCTTCGTCAGGCAGCCACCGCGTGGTTCTCTCTCTGCCTTGCCAAGCCTTCACCCCGCCATGAGGCCTGCCGCGCCCACGTGCTGAGGCAGCGCCCAGGTGCTGTGGATTTGCCTTTATTGGAGGACCTCTGAAAGTTAATACAGAGCTTAAACAAGATTGAAGCAAACTATGTTTAGGCCAGATCCTAAATGTAGTTGGAATACCACCCCTTAACTGGCTGTCTAGTCTCTCCAAACCAAATTCTTCTTCAAATGCCTTTTTAGTTGTCGGTAGAAATTCAGCTGAAGTATAAGCCAAACTGAATTGTTTTCAAAATACATTTCTGAAAAAAGTGGATGTGGGCATGAAGAAAAACTACCCTTGTAGCTGCACATTTGACTCTCTTACACTTTGAGAACTTGTTGTCCAGAGGCAGAAAGTGAGACTACCCAGTGGCCTCTGCCAGCATCTTCCTTTGTGACATGCTTTTCATAGCTGTATGGAACCATCAGTTGACAAGAAAACTGCCTGAAAGTCTGTCATTGACAATATTGGTCATTTGCACTAAGCACAGTGAGCCTGCTGAGGGGAAACAGCCAATAAGTCCCTATTTTGCTTTGCTTGCAAGTGTGGCTTTTGTTTTACCTATTAAACTGTCTTTGTTTCAACCCAGGAGTTTTCTCACTCTTACCTGTCGATTCTCTCCCCCATCCTGCTTGGGGTAAAGGAGCAGGGTGACAGCTCTGGATTACCTGAAGATACGACACAGAGGTGAGATGGGTGATGTGTTTGGTTTAAGTTTACGACAATGAAACACAAATAGAATTTAGTCTTTACAAAAAGTTCCAAATCTCACCCTGTCCCCAGCTGTCAGATAAAATAATAAAGCAAAGGTACCTCCCCTTTTTAAGCCTCACTTAAAAGCTTGAAAAACAGCTGCAGTGTTTATTTTTTTCCCAACCCTTGATCTGAAAAATTGAGTTTCTGAATTCCAGGCCAGATCATTCTTGGCTGCCCTGAAGATGCCCCAAACAACTCCAGTGGCACAGAGGAAAGCACAAAGCAACACAAAAGCATCAAACGTTCTATTTAAAGTGACTTTATTAAAACATTGTTAATATAAAATGTGACCAAGTACAATTTTTTTGGTAAGAATGTTTAATAAAAACATATTAAAGAAAGGAGGAGCATCAACTCTTGTCAAAGCACAGGAAAAACCTACCAGGATAAGTAAAAAGTTCTGCAGCATGTTCTACCAGCTGGTCCCAATGTGTATTAGGGTCAAGTTAGCCAATGGAAGAGACAGGAAGCCCACGTTCTTCCCTAAGAAGCTTTAAGGTTCTTAGCTGAGACTTAAAATAACCCTCCTCAATAGCAGGAAACTTTGCTTTCAGCTCTCCCTATATCAAAGTAAGATTAGACTGCACACCTTCATGGTGGATTTATAACTTCTCAGCAGCTGAATGTACAAAAGATTAGATTCACTTGTAACTGTAAAGCCCAGGGTTAACATTTTTCAGCTTTAAAAAGCAGGTGCGAGTCAATGCTAATTCTGCACCTAAAGAATCTGTGCTAAAGTTGTTCTAAGCTGCACTACTGCTCGGGGCTTGTAGCAAATGCTAAGAAAGGTCATTTGGGGTGCACTGAACGCTCATGCTCCCTAAAAAAAAAAAAAAAAAAAAATCAGTAAAGTCCAGGCTGGTGGAAACAAGTACGTTCTGAACTGCTGAATGCAGAGACAGTACCCACAAATTACAGGAGTTCGTACACCTCAGGAAGCATGGAATGAAGCTCTTGGTAGTCTATAAGTAAGGCTACGCAGCGATTTTTGCTCTGTGGCAATCTTCCCCTTTAGCTAAGAAACCTTTTAAGAAAACACTAGAAAAACTAGAGGTTTTGGGCTTGGTGGTTCTGTTGGGGGGAAGGTGGCATATGGGTGGTGATGTTGGTGGCTTATGGCATTGTCCCTGATCAAAAAGTAAGTTTTGCTATTCTATCATCCTCCTCTGCTTGTTTAGAGCAAGCAGCACACCAATTAGAGACAAGGATTCTTCTAGGACATCACAAACTCTTCCTGTAACAGGCAGAAGAAAATCCTGCAGCATCCAGCTCTGCACTTTTAACTGTCCCTGGCATTGAACCAAACATCAAGTGTTAATCCGTGAGAAGCCTAGCACAATTATGGTCTAGGAGATGGTGACCCTCCTATAGCCTTGGCTAGGGCCCAACAGACCCATTAGAGCCCTATGTTTTGCCTTCTACCCCAAACAAATGGTGTGGGACTATTGCTGAGGTAAAGGGAAAGGTCAAACCTTTGGCATTGGAGCAGACCAGTCGCTGGCTGTGCGTAGGGGGAATTAAGGCTTCAAGGTGAGGTAAACACAGTGAGAGTCAGTGTGTAAATCATGCTGCATTTCAGAGACGACAGATTCAAATGACAGCTAGTCTTCTGCTCTACATTTTAAACACCAAACAAAGACCATTTGAAAGCAGAACTGGAGGCAAGTCTGAGGGCCACCTTGAGATGCTTCTCTGCACCTCGGGAGCAAATGTAACCCAGATGTTGAATGCTGAAGAGAATGTACCCACGAGGAGGAAAAAGCACCAAAGTTGATGAGTCCTTGAGACAATGCACTGCTTACAAAGAAGCCTTATACTGCTATGACCTCCCATAAACATAGTGGTTTCCCTGACACAAAGGCAATCTACACACCAGCAATTCCTGGTGCTGTGCTTCCAGCACTACTATTATGAAGAGCTATGCTCTAGTAAGGAGGCAGTGAAGTCATTAGGTTTGTATTCCCTGAAGACAGTTTCTCCCATTCATTAGGTGCTGTCCCATTCTCTTCCACCCACCACCAAGTTTTTCACCCAAAGACCAGAAACACCCGTCATTTCCCCAGGTCACTTTTCTAACACTCTCATGTTCTTTTAGCAGATTTGTAGGGGACAAACACAGTGCTTCTTTGGATCCATCATTTTGGCAATGCCTTTGCCCTCTTCGAAAGTAAAGTGTTTTCAGCTAAGTGGTACAAAAGATACTTTCAAACTAAATGAAATATAGAAAACAACGCAATTCTTCTGTACGCTCATTCTTCATACAGTCTTTGCCAGTTATCTGAAGTATGGAATTATTTGCTTATTTGGAACCATTGCTTGTGCAACACTTTCTTATAAGCTGTGCACACAACCTGGTCCTGGAGGTTCCATTTCTAGGATGTGGAGACTCTCATTTGTTTGTCTTTAACATGCATATGGTAACTTCTCCTATCCTCTCAATACAGTAGCTACTAAAAATTTTAACAGAAATTAAAAAAAATATCCAAATGAAACCACACTTCTATCACTGTTTAAAAAACAGAAACGCATATGATATTACAAAAGTTTATACAAAGGCAACATTTAAGAGTTTGAAAGTTACTTCTAGAAAAAGACACAAATGCTAGTAAATTAACATACAAGGAGAAAGATACCCCACTCCTTCCCCAAAATTGATTCAATCTAAAGTATCTTTTACCAGTTGTCTAGAAAATCAAAGCCAGTCTTCAAGATAACATTGCTTGTACTAGTCTGCAAGGAAAAAAAAAGAGAAATAATGTGTTTGTTAATTATATTACAAACTCAGTAGATGACTGTCTGTCTACAAAAGAACATTTAAAATGTTGTCTGCCCATGTTCAAGTTCTTCACCTTGTGTTAGGACACTGAAGAACCTACACCAGAAAATGCTAGACATGGAAAAATACTCACAATGACCAAAAAGGCAATTCCAGAGGAAAACAAAAGTCTTGTAGTGGTAGTCTGCAGCCAAAATGTTGTGGTGGTTTTGTTTGTGTTTGTTGGTTTTTTTTTTTCCCCCCATGGAAAAATTAATAAAGATCAATTTTTAGACTAGAGTGGGAATTGCAGAGAATGAAACAAACACAGAATGTAAGCATCACTAATTCAATAATTCAATGTATTGCCTGTTGCAATGACAGACAGTTGTTTTCAGTAAATGACATGGTTTAAACTTTGTTAACCTGTCATTTACTAGGCTGTGAAGAACATGCTCGCTCCTGTAATGCTTTTAGCTGTGACATTTAAGGTAATTTTAGTGTTCAGGAATATTATTCAAGGGACACAGGTGAATCTCTGGATCCTCTTCCTAGGGCATGGCTCTATTCTCCAGAATAGGAAAGATAATCCAGAAAAGAGGAAATGAAAAAAAACCTCTATTGTACTATCTTCTTCGCTACTCCCGTCTGTGTTTTGACATTGTTTCTCCACAGAGAGAAAGATCAGGATTTTCAAAGTATTTCAGTGAGCTAGAAAACATTCACGAAGGAATTGAAACTGTAACAAATCATTACTTTGTAGGAAAACATGATAAAGCCTTTAACTAAAATGACAGGACTACCACAATCACAATTTATAGCATAAGAGCTCAAGAAGCACTATGTCTGAGCTTCAGAAAAAAATACCTAAACAGAGGTCTGCAAATACTAAATTGACTATTGTTCTCTTCCAAGTGCTACCACTTCCTCCTCCTGCAAGTATTCAACTCATCCTGCACCTTTCTGACCTTACATCATCTTGTTTAGAATTTAAACAATTACTTTTGGGAAAGTATGGTAGAGAAAAAGCTATGTGATGTGCTTGAGGTGTACAGTAATGTGTCAGAATGATGCTACAGATTCCAAACAGAACTGCACAGCTCTGTTTGAAGAACCTCTCCTCTCCTACACAGTTTTCAGGCTTTGGATCTCTTCCTTTTCCTTCCCTCACCATTTCATATCCTGTTATTCCTTTTCTTTTCTCACAGATCAGCATCTGTTATTTAAATAACTTCAATTGGCTATTGAGCTCCTCAAGGGTTTTTTGTTGTTGTTGGGATGTTTGGGGGTTTTTATTTAAAAAAAAAAAATTGAGAAGGCTAATTCTGGAAGCTCATTCCATTTCCATTTTGGACTTTAAGAGAAAACACATTTGAAAGCAGCCCAGCTGCCTGGGATAAAGCAATGGGAAGTGGCTGTTGGGCTATTGCTCAAAATAGCTGAGAAATCAGCTCACCATTCACTGCTGTGCTGTGTACACCAAGAAAGTATCCCAGACTCTAGTTTAGCTACTTTTCAGGTTAAAACCTTCTTTTTTTCATTAACTGTTTTGCTGTTTCAAGGAGAAAACCACCCTCTTCCACTTGATATAGCACGCTTTCTACCCTGAACTGTTAGTTAGCTTGCTAGTTAGCCACTAGATGCCACATCAGCATTTCTGGTATTATAATTAAATAATGCCTTTGTCCTATGCATTTTACTACATAAAAAAATACTTGGCTGAAATAAACAATAGTAGTTAACATGTTGGTTACATAGACTTCTTTGAATTTGCAATATAAAAAGCCAGCAAGCTGAGCTATGGCTTAATGCTTTATGGAGTCCCTAATCTTCTAGAACAGCCTTGCCAGATTTTAATGGGCTATCCAGTTTTTAAATCTAAGGACAGTGGATATAGCAGTCCTTACCTGTTCAGGCATTTGTGGATCTGTAAGTATAGTACCATCAGTATCTTCCTTGTTTGTCCTAGAAGATGCCAGGTCCTGTGGTGGGTCAGGAAGAAAGAAGTCATCTAGAGAACTAGCAGGGAGTTGAGTGGGTCGAGGTTTCTCCCATTCGAGAGATACAGAAGGTAGGCTGGGGGCAGCAGACTTCTCTGGTTTTGTTATGCTGGGCTTGTCAGCTTTTGCCACCTCCTTTGGAGCAGACTCTTGTCTGTAAAAAGAGGGAAGGGGTTTCTCTCCTTTCTCCATGGACTTGATCTGGCTGGGAGTCAGGGACTGGAACTCAGACTTGTCTCCTTCAAATTTTGAGCGCTCTGCATTTATCTTCCAGAAAGAGGACTCCTCTTCCTTTCTGGGTGCTATCAACCCATCAGAGCCAGGGGTCTTACTGGCCTGAGAAGATTTAGGGACTTGGATACCAGGTGCTGCTTTAACGGGCTGCCTCTGTTCATTTTGTGACTGGGCACCACCTTGTTCTTGTATGGACAGAGATGCCACGCTGAACTCCATCTGGCTCTGTTAAAAAAAAAACAACCAAACAACAGTATTTCAAAGCCCTTCACAAAGACACAGTTTTGGACTTCTGATCTATCTTCTGATATATTTTCTTATTTTCTGATAGAAAATACCTTTTCCCGCAGCTAGGCAAGTCCCAGACAGATAACCACAGCAAACCTAACTTACTTTCTGCATAAATGTCTATCTTCATAACTACATACAAATAATGATTTTTAAAAGTCTGAACTGCAAGCAAATGTAAAGTTCCTAGACCTACTGCAGAGGAGTCAAAGAAACCAACTGGATGCAAGTTACTCGGCGCCTTCCAAGATAGCTGTGCAAAGTGTGCACAGCACCAAAGCATTAGAATAGCAGCACCACAACACTGGAGCAGTTGTGAATGCATTTTGAGAGCCACAGATGTTTTACATGAAAATATAAAGCAAAAAAGCTTTACAGTGTAGTTTAAAAGGCAATCTTCCATTATAGTCTATGAAATAGTTGGCAACACGTTACAACTCCATAAGGATTAAATGTCCTGAGTATGTGTAGATAAGTGTTTTTTACAATTCTAATACCCCTCTGAAGGAAGAGGAACAATTTCACCAGCAAGACCAGTTCTCCACTTATTCCAATCTTGGTTTGTTTTTACTTGCAGTACAGATAGATGTACTTATTTCTGAGAGGCAACACTAGGTCAAGGACACAAGTGACCACAGTTAAAGCATGATACAGATCTTGCAAAAGCCACTCAAAGGTGAACAGTACTTCAAAATGTTCGTTTTACTTACCACCACTTTAGTAATCTTGATTGTCAACTAGCTGGACACACTTTAGGCTAATAAAAGTTAAGCCTTATTTCACTCTGAGGAACACAGAAGCATTACTGTATTTAGGAGCACAGCACCATCAAAAGTGCTAGAAAATAATAACCTCATGTCTAGACTTTTGTTTGTAAAATGGAACAAAATGCAAAAGAAAAAAATTAAACTGCATTACACTGTTGTCATTATGGGCCTGTTTAGTTTTGAAAAAATTCAAAGGAGATTTCAAATTCTATTTTTGCAACAAGTTCATAACAGATGCTTTTGAAGTTCATTACTTGTTTGTGATGTTTTCCTCATTCAACTCCCCTACCTGGCCTTTCCTGAATAAAACCACAGTAGCATCTATGTGCCTGAGTCTAAAACAAGTCCTAGCTGCACATCACTTTCACTAAAAGTGTTTGATCTCCAGTCCTATGTTATTGAGCATGTTAAGTTCAAAGCCACTCTAGAGCTAAAAGGTCTCACACGCCTAGTATTTAATATTCAGAAACTTCTCATCAAAGCACAAATGTTCACAGCAACTGATCATTTAGAAAATAACCTTTTTAAATAGTCAGCAGCCGATCACATAATTTGATTCATGGACTAACAGCTGACCTTTCTAAAGGAGGTATTTCTCCAAGGTTATAGGCAAGGAAGCACCAAGTTTTGTGTTTTCATTAAGAATATACTGTGTTATCAAAAGAAGCAGAACACAAGCTGTTAAGTAATTACAGCTCAGCTAGAACAAGGTGAGTGCAGGTATACATGCAGCTCTTGCCGAATAGCTTAACACCCCTCCCTGCCTGCAAAATACTAGGAGGAAAAACCTTCGTGCTCTGATTTTCTTTAATTTTTTTTTTTTTAAACAGAAGTCATGACCAAGTTAAGAGCAGTAGATTTTTTCCTTGGATAAATTCTGCATAAACAAACTACAGACGTAAGGGTATTGAGATTATTTAAAGTGACTGCCATTCCCTATATTAAAATATAGGGATTTATTTCCCTAAGCTTCTTTGGCAATGCTACCAAATAGAGATTTACCACCCTGAAGTTAAGATGCTTTAAGACTTCAGAACTGATAACACCCCAGCTTAAAAAAAACCACAACACAATATAAAATAGACTGGCACTTTTCCAGTATCCAAGGAGGGGGAGGGGAGGGGGTGGAGAGAAGAAGTGAAAAAATTTCCTTCTTGGAAGAATTAAGTCCTCGTCACATAGGAATTAAAACAGTGCTCCTTTCTATGCTTCAACAGTCTTCCTTCTTCTGAGAAGTCTGTCCCAGGGCTCACACTAGAGATGACAGTGGCTGAAGGCCACCACAGCAGCAGTCAGTTTCAGTAAAATGATTCCTTCACCCCCCAGCCCAAGAGAGAGGGAAGGTCAGTGCCCAGAAGGCAGAGGGGCCATCAGAGCCCCAGATCCATCAGAATAGTGTTGGAAACAAAATCTGGGAAAAAAAATGATGGAAGGGAAGCAGGGGTTGGTTAGAACAGGAATTAGAAAAAGGAAAACCAACAAGATGGCTTCACCTTTCAGTGGCAGCAAGATAGATAAGCAAAGCCAGGACCCCTAAGAAGTTCTTACTTTATAGAGCAAAAGCCACTGCCTGTGGTCATGTTTTATGTTCTTTCATACAGGTCCAGATATCAAGTCAGAGGTCTAGTTTGGAAGCAGCAGACCACTCCTAGTGCAGAGAAGAGTGTGGCACTGCAGCACTCCAGGCAGTTGTTCCCTTTCCAACCTGCTTGTGAATGCATGTCCTGGAGAGGATGACCTCTTTGCCCTTTTAGAACAAAAGGCTGTGGGCTGTACCTTTCCATTTCAGAAATCAGGACCGCCTGACATTTAAGATTGCATATTTGTGTCACGGTATGCTTTGGAGATCAAACAGTTCATAACATGACGTGGAATAATCTGAATGAAAATACGTCTTCAGGAGTTTGCTTTCTGCCCCAAGGAAGGCGAAGAAGACAAGACTATGCCGACAGGTTCTGAAAGCTCTGTGCCTCAGCATGATGTAAATACAGCCCCGAAAGGTCCAATGGATCATTCTGCCTCTAGCATTTAGCTTGGGAAGCCAAGAAATTCTGTGGAACAGTCACAAGTTATTCTATTTCCCTTAAAATACATAATGCTTCTGTCTGACTTTCAAGGTTACTGAAGACATCTGAGCCCTTAAGAAATGTAGCTGATGAAAGAGTATTATTAATACGGAGTCCCTTTCAAGTAAAAAACTTGGCAATAAAATACTATAAACAACCTCCCCCTCAAAAAAACCTCCAACAGAGCAGCAGTGTAAGTAGGGAGATTATTTCACATACAGATGGAGAAGACCCATGTGTGAAACACCCCATTCTGACAAGTCATGAGTAGTAATGCATGTTCTGGTGAGTCACTAAACACTAGAAATGTGAATTTAATTAGTGTTCTGCTCTCAGTTTCTTACATCAGATTGCAAATTGGCAATTCATTGGGAAAGAAATGACATTTAAAAGACAGTTACCCCCTCAAGAAAAACCACTTCCTTTTCCTTCAGGTTTGCCAGCCATGAGAATATCTTGATGCACACCTCTCCTGGCCCAAATCAAGCTTACGGTAGCAGCTGGTCCATAAAGGGCCATACCACATGCTCACTGTCCTCAGGCTGGGGCCGAGCTGCAGTTGTGCACCTAAACATTTAGCAGGAGAACTGCACCTGTCATGCTGTACCAGCTGCTGCCTTGGGGAAGCAAACACTGAGCACTGCGGTAAGGTTTGATGGTCAAAAGTGAATTGTCACTTAGGCACAGCCTGTGATTCTAGAGATAAAGTCCCAGCTGCTTTCATAGATTTTGTAGGACTCTGAATGAGCTGAAGTTTATGTATTTTAAATCCAAATCTAGGGAATGAAACACAAATACTTTATTTTTCCTACCATTTGTCCATCTTGTATTTCTGTTCCACCCAGAAAGTCTTGAGAGTTTACAAACAGGCAAGGACAGTCCCAACTACAATTTCTAGACCTTATCAGAATTCAAATAAAAGCTATTAACAGAAGTACTATTTTTAAGCTAATGTGCTGAGAATTACTTGCTTTTGCAATAAGAGAGACAGCACATGTGAAAGCACACACAAAGTAGTATTTTGAAGCAGAGCAAGCCTAGAAGTCTGTATTCTTTTCAGTCTTGTCCCTCTGATCCTAAACCAGTGCAAGGGTTGAAGTAAAGGATGCCTAGTCTTGGATCATCTTTCTGTCTGAGAAGTAAGTAATATTAAATTGCAGGTTTTAGGAAGTTGGATGTTCACCTCTCCTTATAAAGACCATTTTAAGGTATTTAGGAATTGTATTTACTGGATTAAAAAACTTACACCTAACCTCAGTCTCAAGGCAAAGACAATCCACTAAATAGTAACATTGGCTGTACAGACTCACGGGAAACAATGTATTATAAAAGAGAGGCACCACACACTAAGAACCCAATGATCTAATCATACTGTATAAAAATCAAGTCTCAGTTCATAAGTCTACTTTAAAAACAAATGACCACATAGAACCCAGTGACTTTTTTTTTTTCAAGCATCTTACTCACTCATCAGGAATGTGTAGTATTTTACTAAACAGTCAAGCAAACACAGCCAAAACAAATTGTTTTGCTTGGCAGTCTGGAAAATCCAAATTGTTGAGACAAAGACTGCAGAAACCCTGTCATAAACAACTTGTTTTAAGTACAGCCTGATATATGCAGAGGTAAGAAAGCCAAGTTTAACATTATTTAGAAGATGATTTTGCTTTGCTGAATGGACAAAACCAAAATAAATATGGGACCCAAAGTAGCTGCAGTTTATGCTTTGTTTCCTGTGCACTCTCTGGGTGTTTTCACGATCTTTTCAGAGTCAGAAAGAAATCCTTAGGTCAGCAGAGACCAATTGCAGGGGCAAAATCAGAGCAGAGCACTCAAAACCAAGGTAAGTAATTTTAGTCCACAGAGAAAGACAATACTGGAGACACATCACATACAGTTTTGGAGGAAATGTCATGAACTACTCTTTGGTGATATGAACAGTATTCTACTCTGACACCAGTTACTGGTCAGCCTGAGCAAAGTCATACTGACAGAATCTGGTATGTGCACATTCTGCACTCAAAAACAGCTGTCTAAAGCTTGATGCAGGTAACTGAATCCTTAGCCAAGAACATCTGGCCAAGTAGATTTAAATATATGTTGAACACAGCAATTATGACCACAAGTTGGTTTTTTTTTCCCTTCAAGAACTAATAGTCAACAGTAGTGTTACAGCACTGAGTTTTAAACATCTGTAAGTAGATCAAAAACAGAAAGGAAAACCCAAAACTTCAGGCATTGTTCCTCTTTCCTTCCAAGGAAGCACTGCCATTTATGCCAGCTAGATTAACAGACAAAAACCAACAAAAAATCAAACCAAAACTAACTAGGACTCATAGAAAGGGTACTGGAGAATGTCTTTTTGTTTTAGTTAAAGGCAACAGGTAGCAAACCACATTTTTAGAAGTGCAATGTAATTTTTTTCTTTCTAAGTCATCACTGGGATCAGATCACTTCTGTAGTGATATAATTAGGGAAATTAGACAGGGAGGCAGCAAACAGATTACTGAAGTGATTGAAGCTTGACACTTTCTCTCTCTCTTCCCCCCCGCCCCCCATTTTGAAGGCTTCTACTTTCAACAAATATCTGAAGTTCCGTTGAAAGCAGATAGGAGCTGAAGGAGGAAAAAGCCAGGAGTTAAAAAAGTACAAAAAGGACTCTCTAAAGCTACCTTTGCAACTATTCTACCTGTATCAAGACCAATAAATTTTCAGATGTGCATGTGTCAATCTTCAGCATTTGGAAGAAAACCTATTTTAATTAATAGCATGAAATAGATTCCAACTTATTCCCATGCTGCTCTCTGTGCATTCAATATGTTAGTTGAGGTGGCAGATTGAAATTATATTTTCTGCCCATTACTAAACTGATTTAAAAAAAACCAAACCAAACCAAACCGCACCAAATCCAAAAAGTTCTGAGTTCAGGAAAAGTTGCAGAGAAATATTATTTCCAAAACCAGGCATGATTCTTGTTTTCCATTTATATCTCGGGGTCCGTGTTGAATTTCACTGAATTTTTACTTCAAACAAACCAAGAAACCTCAAAGGCTAAACTCAGCCAAAATGTCAGCTTTCATCTCATTTAAACCTGGAGCCATAAATAGAATGCCCTAAATTCATAAACCTGGCTTTAGCTCCAGTTAAAAATGTAACCCACATTTCAAGATGTGTTATGTCCATGAGGGCTCCACCCATGAACCGAATCACTCCCTGCAATTCAACCTCTAGTTATAAAATGTCAGCTTCTTTGCAGCGCCATGAGAACTCCCTGCGTCCCAAGTAGTTTTCCTTCTGAGAAGTGCTACAGTTTTCTCCTAGAAGTATTAGTATTTGATATGCTGTCTAGCAGCTAACTCAGCAATTTACACTGTTACTATGCTTTGTTTGAGGGTGTAAAAATAAAGAGGTAAGACAACAATTTTAAATACATTTCAAACAGCTGAAAATGGTGGAAATATTAATGCATTTGCCATGGTATGAATGCCTTAAGCTGTATCTCACATTTGCATTTAAAACAAGAACACAGAGTTTACTTTTGACAGAAATTAAGTTATCAAGACCTTCAACAATGTTCTGCCCAAGACGAGAGCAATTTTGCACACAGTCCTTTGGGTAAGGTTGATAGCCATGGAATAAGGGAACCCACTGCACTAGCTACTGTGAGAAAAAAAATTGTCCGTACCTAATCAACTAGAATCACCACTGGCATCACTGTAACAGCTGAAAGAGTCTCCAACCTGTAGAAAACATGCCCTCCCCTTTTCTTACTCTCAGCTCTCCTGAAGTTAGTTACAGACAAATACTGAATTTGTAGCTTTCTTTTTCTTAGTTTCCATGTTAAAAAAAAAAAAAAAAGCCTATTGTTTGCTTGATTTACATCTCTACTTGCTCATTCTCTGCAAAATCAGAAAGTGAACACAAGTTTTCCTTCCTTGGGTAAGCCAGAGCACAGCCATGCATAGCTGCAAAAGAATGAAGCAATTTCATCACGGCAGTAACATGCAAAAACCTCCAAATTAAATCAAAAACTCTGTATTAAAGGGA